TGTGTGTGTGTGTACGTGGTGAAACACGAAACCAATGTGCCAGGATCTGGACAATAAAGATGTATCTTATCTTATCTCATCTTATCTCATCGTATCTTATCTTACCTTATCTTGTCTTTCCTTATCTTAACTTATCTTATCTTATCTATCTTATCTTATCTATCTCATCGTATCTCATCGCTCCTCAAAATAAAAATATCGAAGAAATCAACATTTTTCTGCCCATTTTGGCAATTTTTATTGATTTTTTAAATCTAAATTTTTTTAAAAGGAATTGTTTCATTTGTTTGTTTGTCTGTTTGTTTGTCTTTTGTTTGTTTTTTTTCGGAGGAAAGGGGGGGGGGGGTGATATTAACAACTTAAAATGATGTTCACTGAAAAACCTATTGCTGTATTTGTCTTGCTGTAAGACGGTGATCCATGGTTTAAAAAAACAACCCAAACATGACCTTATGCTGTTGCAAGTGACGCAAAACACCAAAGAGAAAAAGACAGATTCCTGGTGGGTGGTTGGTGGGTGCTCTGGTGTGGTTTGCACCTTCTTTCCTATAAAACATATGTCTTCCCGATCTCCCCTCCTTCTTTTTTTTGTGTTTGTTACTCTCTTGTAACACCTCTTATTTTCGGCACGTATGCAAGTGCCGTAAAACTTTTACTAAAACTTAAGACTCACCAGCTTTAGGCTGTCAATGATGGGTGAGGAGATGTTGACTGTCTGCATGTAGCGTACGGTGACCCAGCTACCACAAAGGATCACCACCACCAACACCAACACCTTCACCGGCCCTCTGCGCATGTCCAGCATGATGAATGACGTCACTGAACGACTTGTCGCCGTCTGGAGATACCTGTGTCCTGTTTGTCACTGTTGTGTTTGCGTGTTTGTCACTGTTCCTGTGGTGTGTTGTATTTTTCAGGAAGCAGAACGCCTCTTTGGTATGCTATTTGGTCTACTTTGACTGAGATTTTCCTGCGAGGTGCCTGTGACTAATCTGTGTGGTTCTGTTGTCCTGATAGACAGCTGTGTGGTTCTGTTGTCCTGATAGACAGCTGTGTGGTTCTGTTGTCCTGATAGACAGCTGTGTGATTCTTTTGGCCTGATAGACAGCTGTGTGGTTCTTTTGGCCTGATAGACAGCTGTGTGGGGTTTTGTCCTGATAGACAGCTGTGTGGGGGTTTTGTCCTGATAGACAGCTGTGTGGGGGTTTTGTCCTGATAGACAGCTGTGTGGGGGTTTTGTCCTGATAG